AAATATAACTCATCATCACTTTTTCTTTCCTTTCAAAGGATCAAAAAAGGGGTGTCTGAGGGCTGCCTCCAGAGTGATCCTTTTGGATACGTCATACTCCAGCATCTTGTGCATGAGGTCAAAAAGCTGCTCATGCTCTGTACTCTTTGAGGACATGTATTGCTGTAATGAGAAGATGGAGGTAAACAAATCAGAACACAGTAAACCATCAGATACATAGCAAAGCCGTATTGCACATCACCTTCCCAAATCTGCACAAAACGAAACCAAAAACGAGACCCAAAACGAAAGCCAAATCGTACTTTAAGGGGCTTGCAGTGCTTCCTCACATATCTCCCGGAAGAGTTGTGCTCATCCCAGTCCAGCCGCCCATGACGAACGTATCTCCTTTTCCTACGACATGTTAGACACAACCGCCTTACTTATGCACGACATGCATCTAATACCAACAATTTATAAACACGCTTCTGAAAATTCAGAAAGCTGTCGGAGAGGAAGGAATAGGGTGTGGACTTCAGAAAACTACGTAAAGGCAAAAGCTCACTTGGTTTTCTGTAAGAGGGAGCTGGGTATTGGCCCAAGGACCCTTTCCATCATAGCCAAGTGCTCCTTGCTGTCGTGAGTCTGCAAAAGAGCATGAAGCATGCTTGGGTTTCAAGGGCACAAGGAAACCAGCTTGGGTACTCAGTCAGAGGTGAATGCTTTTGGTTACTGGTTTATTGTCAAGGGTCTCACCTGAAAGAGCGTCAATCCGAGGTAATACTCAATTAGTATGCAGCCCAGACTCCAAACATCACATGCCTGGTTCCATCCAAGTTCTGCAAGTATGCCAATGACAATAAGCTAGACAACCATCTGGACCAAATCTAGGCAGTTTTGTTCTTCGCCAGATCTTTGTAACACTCACCAAGAATGACCTCAGGTGCTCGATAATGCCTGGTGGACACCACAGAAGTATGGTGCTCGTGGTCATATATAGCATTTCCAAAATCCACCACCTTCACATCAGTATTCTTCAAGGTCCTCTCGTCCCTTTTCTGGATTAAAAAAAAAAAAAAAAAACTTCTGTACAAAGAGTTTTTGAAGAAAGCTTTTCAAACAACTGAACTTAATTCTAGGGTGAAAAAAAAGTTTGACATGTGCCCAAAAGATTTTATTCTGTATATAAATTTATACCCAGACATTTTCCTACAATATGGACAGTATCCATATCCATTTATGTCTTCGCCTCCCATTCATTAGGTGACTTGTAGCAATGCTTACCAATTTTACATTGTACTCCAAGCAGTAGTCAGAATCCACAAAGAGGATATTCTCTGGCTTCAGGTCAGTGTGAGTAAGCTTGTTTCGGTGTAGGACTTGTACACAAAGACAAACAAAAAGCTGTTAGTATAGTTTCAAAGGAAAACAACCCTACAATCACTAAATACAAATATGACTCCCATTATTTTCAAAATATCAGAATCTGCTAAGTAAATTAAACCTGTGGCTGCTCAGAATGACCATCATCCAATGTCACTGATAGTAATCAATTCATTTCATTGCATGTACTCACAGTGCACTGCTCTGAAGATCTGATTTGCCATA